TTTGTTATTGTGTGAACTATTTTGCTCAACCACATGTGGAATTCACTCCCTGATTTCTGTAAATTATATTATGTTTTTCAGGTCTCGATTATGGCAAATAAATTGAAAATGAATTCCATGGGAAATATCTCTCCTCAAATATCTCTTCCAGGAAAATTGGTTTTTCCAAGGTGAGTACATTGTGATTATGTTACATTTGGCAATGAATAACATGTCTACATGTAGCTCCGTTACAAGTGGTAGATATTAAGTATAAATTATTATGTGGAGTTAGAGGTTGATTCCAAACCAGAGACCATCACTCATGGTCTTTATATGAATCATTGGCATCTTAGAATTTAAGTAAGTTGTGGGTAGAAGATGTAGCCTTTGTTCTTCTGTAGAACATCTCCACCTCTGGATAGACCTCTATGTCACTCAGTGACTAAGAGTCAAAGGGAAGATAGTAAGAGCAATCTCTCTTTTACAGACACACTAAGATTTTTCAAATGTATAGAACAAAGCAGCTGATAATTCTTCTGATCCTTGATGAATTAAGTGTTCCTGATAGATCTATAGAAGATTGATTGTTGATTTTGGTACAAAAAGATAAGAATGGATCCATAGAGTTCACAAAGTTGTAGTATGAGTACCTTTTACTCTCAAAGATTACTGTCTGACAGTGACTGATCACATCTCCCTAACCGTCAAGTTAGCTCTTGAGTCACTATTGATAATAATGTCTGATTTTAAATGACAATTTGTTTTCAGCATGCAAGACAGAGGCAGATTTTCTATGTTAGGGCTTGGAGATATAGTGAGTATATGCCATCATCATTGTCTGTTTGTCATCACTGCACAAGTCTACAACTCTATTCTTATTAAAATCGTACAAACAGATATCTTACTCTTGCTCCATTGGATACTGCTTCCAAGATCAACTAAAAGTAGAATCTTCTTGAAATCTTGAATTCTCTGCATTTGTAGTAGCACTGGCCCTCTACTCACTGTGTGACAGAGAGAGGGCCATTACTGGACTATAGCATGAAGAGAATTCATAATATTATTTTTTTCAAGTTGAAGGATTTTTTTCACATTTTGAAATCTGAATTGTTCTCAGTTGGGGTTACCTTCCCAACCCTAGGTCTCTCTCTCCCTGCTCTTGGGGGCAGGGAGATGGAGACCCTGGGAACGAGGTCGTACCCCTTCATGTTCTCACTGTTATGAATTATCCTGTTTCTTTTCTTGTAGGTCATGCCAGGACTTCTCCTATGTTTTGTTCTGAGATACGATAGGTACAAGAAACAAGCAGCAGTAGCAGCTGATACTGAACAATCCAAGATAACTTATTTTCATTGCTCTCTTATTGGATATATTGTAGGTGAGTTGCATCTCATATTTGATTCAGATGTCAAATCATTATGTAAGTCCCTCATAACCAAAAATGTTTTTGTTCAAGTATGATGGAATTGGTCCAAACCTTTGATTGCATTAGGTTTTTTCACTGGTGACCCAGTGGTTTCTCTAACCATCCTTACTTAATGGCAACCGAAAATCGTACTGCTCAATTACGAGTCTAAGAGCTCTAATGTTGAACACCAGAACTTTAATGGGAGCCATATGGAGAGAAATAGGCCATTTCCGATTTACCTTGTGCCTCTGTTTCAAAACGAGTCTTCATGCCAAACCTTTCGTATGAAAATGAGTTTGATTTGCATGAAAATGAACCTGTAGGCGGAAGTCATATGAATGGTTTCGCACGAAGACTCGTTTTAACACAGAGGCAAAAGGCAACTTGGAAATGACCCATTCCACAGGTCCCTTGCACAAGTAGATTCTGCAGGTCGCCTCTGGCACTACATTAGCTGCAAGTTCTTGTGTTTGATTGTTTGTTTCCTTCCTGTCAATCAGGATTAGTGACAGCCACTGTTGCATCCGAGGTGTACAAAGCCGCCCAACCAGCGCTACTGTACCTTGTACCGTTTACGCTTCTACCCATCCTAGTCATGGCTTATTTGAAGGTATAGTCCTTGTCTTGTGTTATTACGTCTTACCATTTACTTCGTCACGCGCTGTTAATGTCACGTAACGTGACAAGGTTGCGTGATATTTAGATTTAATTTAAGAAGTGCACGGTTATTTTATACAAGATTAAAAAACATTTGCCTGTTGTATTTTGGCGCAAAATGTATTGGTTAAAGTTAATTTCCCAGCCTCCTGGGTGATTAGTCAAGAAAGAGTGTCTTCACACTTCACATACAATATCGTACAATGGAAACCTGGGACTAGAAAGTGTTCTCTCAAGATGTCAATTTAGGGTGCGTTCCTTTGGGACGATCTGGATCAGGATCAGTGATCCAAGATCACTCGGATCATAGTGCATCAAAGGAACCAACGAATCCGTGACCAGAGTGGATTCGTTGGTTCCTTTGATGCACCATGATCTGAGTGATCTTGGATCACTGATCCGTATCCGGATCCGGATCGCCCCAAAGGAACGCACCCTTAGTTTCCTGTGGGCGCTAAATGAGAAGACGAAAAGTGAAGATAGCGCTTCTCCCTGCAGAGAAACTAGAAAGTCTAAAATGCTCTTTTGTTTCTGTAGGGTGATTTACGAAAAATGTGGCAAGATCCCTTTGTAGCGGCTGGTGCTAAATTGAAGTTTTTGGATGTATGACACAGCAAAAAGGACAACGTTAAATCTCCAACAAACAAGATTCAAAAAGTGGGAAATATTGATTTTGAAGTCCTGTCGTCTTTTTGTGGACCATTTGTTACGGTCATTGGTTCCTGACTCGCCTCGGACATAACATGAAGTCGCTCAATGAGGGTCCTCTATGGGTTAAGCATTGGACGGTGGTTGCAATGTATGACATTGGGTGAATGAAACGAAAACAAGGAATGGGAACACGGGTTTTGAAGGATGGAATTATATAGAAGAACGGGAACATAGTTTCAGTTAAATAACCATGAACAACTGTTTGGGTCTAATGCTTAGTCACACAAGACTCTGCGTTTTTAGCTACCGTTCTAGAGGTTCGGTTATATAACGTTGAGGAGCTAAGCGAAATAAAATAACGGGCGAAGGTTAGACGGAAAGACGCCGGTTCTTTCGCCTCTTCGCCATCGTTTCGCCTACCGTTTCTTGCGCTTTTTCCCAGTTCCTTATTCCAGTCGGCCAAACCCCTCTCGCTTTAACCGGACGTCTCGAGTGGACAGCCTAGAAGTGAGCTAGGTTTAGCTTGTTTTCGGGAGTTCACTGAGGTGGTTAAACAATAATTGATAAACCACCTCAGTGAACGCCCGAAACGCATAATTATTATGCGTTCGTTTTAGTAGTGATAACTGCAATGTAACCTCTTTTCAAACATTCGTTTTTCAGACTAGATCGAATTGACATGTTTTCATCAGCGTTATTCTTTTCTAGGCCCCGTGCAAAGTACACTAGAGAAATTTTGAAAACGGCGTTTTCGTTTTGAAAACGCATCAAATTTGTCCATCCACTCTACACCAAAGGACTAGTGTTTGAGGAAGCCTCGGGCAGGGATATCACAAGATTAACACTACGACATCGTTTTTGAAAAGCTCCGTTTTCAAAATGTTTCCATCCACACTAAAACCCAAAGCCGGCGTTTTCAAATTCCTCCAGTTTGGACAGCGTTATCAAGAAGCTTCGTTTTCGTGACGGATTAGTGTGGACAGTATGCCTAACCGTAGAAATAAGGCTGGCGTTTCCAAATTTCTCCACCGTAGTGTGGACGGGGCCTAAGGCTTTTTCTTTACACATTCGCAGATATATTTATAATGACCTCAACTTTTCTAAACTCTTTTATGGCTATGTATGAAATATCTTGTATATTTTAAAATTGACTGCAACCTTGCCAAACTAACTAATAATGACCTCAACTATTAAACAATGGACTCTTTTCAAATGAACATAATATGAATTACAAAGTAGTTTGCTTTAAAAGTTTTGTTTAATTACTATTCTGTTCCTCAATGATGCTTGATTAATTCTTTTCTGTTTGTTCATGTTTTAAGAGCCTTTTTGGCAGTTAAAGGCAACGCCTTTGATTATTGCGTGACGTATAAGAAGCATTGCGTGACAAATGCAAATAACGGCTGCAGAAGCTATAGACGTTTTCAACTTGTAAATAACTAGATGGTATTTATTTAATAGGCGAGAAGAATTTTTATGCAAGAAAGTTTTTGATTTAAGGGCATCTGGATGGGGGCCGTTTTCTTGAAGATCCCGAAAACCTTTCGCACCCAGAAACTGAGCCATAGCAAAAACTCAAACCATATGATTTCAGAGCTTTTTTATTCACATATTCTTAATATGAACAGAGGTTCTCTTCAGACAAGAAATTCCAGGCGTGCACACCTCTCTGTTTTTAGACACAGATTAACTAAAAATGGCTTTGCAGGCCCGAAAGGTTTCCGGGACTTTCGAGAAACGTGCCCCTGGGCGGGTTTTGAAACAGTTTAGGAGACAGTTTTAGCATCTTATAAGAATCACATCTATAAATCAAATACAGAGTGCATAAAGATCAAGAATAGTTGTTTTTGTTGTTAGGGTGTGACTTCTGTTTGCAAGCCGATTTCTGAGCGTGCTGATGCATAACGTCCTTCTCTTGCTGTGCTGCAGGCCTCACTGTGTAGAAGCCTCGTCCGATAATTTGCAGGTGTTAAAACCGCCACTGAAAGACAACTTCAAACGTTTACAAAAATAGTTTATCTTTTTTACGATGAAGACAGGAAAAGAAAGAAAATGCTACGATTTGGTGCCAAAAAGAGGGGATTAAAAGCCCCTCCCCCAGGGAGGAGGGGCTCCCTCGTGAAATGGTCGGAGATACTCCTTGTTTCGCGCAGGGGTGTGTATCACGGAATTTTGGTCTCAGGGTGTTGAGTACGAAACGCCAGTGACGTCCAGCTATATTTCAGGATTGCACTCGAAGATATGGCTGGTTTGCAGTGTCATGCCAATAAAAATCGTAAGCATTCACTAAATTAAGTCAAGAAGCTGGGATATGAAAGATGATTGATATATAAACAACTTTGCCAAGATTTAGGTCTGTGCGGTTTTTCATTCGCGTGTTCGGAAAAGTATTTCACTCAAATTTATAGAGCTTTGTATGGAGTCACCACGTTTTGTGCCCCTTGGAGGGACACAAACATGGCGGCCGTAAAGTAACAGAAACATCTCTCATTGAGTTTTGCCATTGAAACGAAAAGTTATTACTACTCTAGAACTCCGACACATTGGCATTAATACTTCTTCTAGAGCTAGACCTGTTTAGTTGGCGAGAACTTGAGCAATAACTCATCTTTTGCAGGGATCTAGGGGAGGGTGCAGGGGTGCGCCACCCCCCTGCGATGAAGCCTTCTTCTTCGTATGTCGCTTTTAAAATCTGTTTACCTCACCAGCAAGTTACAGCATTCCCGGGTGGTGCACCCCTCCTAGAAAAATTCTGGATCCGCCCCTGTTTTGACTTACTCCAGAGCCTTATCGAGCCGCCATTTTGATGTCACGCAACGCACAAACTTGGAAATTCAGGCGTAATGAGGAACCCGGTCGTCAAATTATTAGAGGGTCTAACATCTGATGAAACTAAAACTTCAGAAGGATTGGTAATTTCGTATTTTGGAAAATGATGATGTCACATGAAAACCGGCAATAGCAACAACAACAACAAAAAAATTCTGTCATGTTTAGGGGTCAGATCTGAAGCTTCAGTCACGCCCAAATTGATCTCCTTTAGGGTTTAGTAATTCAAATATTTCAACGAGCATCCCCGATCTTTTTTACATAGGAGCACCTCCATAGTTCCCGGGATCAAAAGGATCAATTAGGCCATAATACAGGGTAGCCTGAGTTGTCAGTCGCCTGACATTTCGCGGAACCAAACGATCAAAATGCAGGCATAGCTGTTTAGCCAAAATCTCTTTCATGGATGCTTTCATGTCACGTGGTTACACTGCGTAGAAACCAAAGTATGCCGTCACGCAATCCATTGCCTCGCAAAATGGCGTTCAAGATCATTTTCTGGTCCTGTTTGTTGGCTGTACTTGCATACTTAACCTATCAAGAGCTTACAGTTGTCAAGGACAGCTACTCGATGCAAATCGAAATACCTGCAAAGCGGTCTGATGTCTTTCGCGTGTTGGCTGATCCCGAATTGTTTCCGCTGAAGATACATCCATTGTGGTACGTCACACGAGCAAGTGAACTCGATAATTCCAGGGTGCAGGGTTGACAGTTTAAGTAATAAAAGCGCTGTTGAAAAACCTTAACTTCTCACCTTCTTTGTATCATGAAGGGATTCAACGAGGATTTTTCGTCCCTAAATCGCCGGGAAAAATCTAAAGTTGTCATCAGGCAAAAATTTAAAATTCTAAATTCAGTCTCATCAGATCTAAGATCGTCTAAGAACTTGACGTTCTACAGTGTTTTAGTTCGACATTCTTCTTCGTTTAGTAACATGGAGCACGTTTGAATTTCCAAACTTTGCATTGCTAGCCCCGCTGGCGCGCTTACATTGGCAAGTTTGGCTTCCCATATTTTCGTGACTTTGAAAAGGATTCTTATCAAACTTTGCATATGTACAGAATTCGACATGGTAAATTGATCTATGGAGGTTTTTTGGTTTATTTGAGAAATACGAAAAAATGCTGATAATCAGTGACCTCTGTTAAAAGGTCCACTGTTCTCAGTTACATTGCATTAGGGACCGTAATTTTTTGAAGGTCAGAGCACGGGGGGGAAGGTGTTGAGCAATTTTCTGGGGCATTCAATTTTTTTCTCATCTTTAGGTTGTGTATGATTATAATAGACCTAGGCAAGGCTGCCAGGAATTACAGCGCTTGTATGGGAATCCGATGGCAAATAACTTTGTGCAAAATCGAATTTTACACAATTCGTGAATCGTAATGTTCAAAATACTAAGTTTGAAGGATGTAGCTTGGCTAGAAGATGCTCAGTTAATTTTTCTAATTTTCCATACATTTGTCTGTAAATTTGGCTGAGTAGAAGTGGAGTCGCGAAAAAAAAAAATTATATCTAAAACTTCACTATATTGGTCCCAACCTTCTTTCATTCTTAACCTACTGCAGATCATAATAGACATGAGTGCAAGCTGTGGTGATTGTCTGTTGTCACTTTTTTTTTCAGAAATTTTATAAAGACAAATGAGGAGAGAGAGAGAGCTTTATTTTCTAGGCTAGTATTAAAAATTAATTCACATTTTTTTTTAAATTTTAGTGTTGGTGTTAGCAGTATTACCAGGTCTCCAGAACAAGATGGCTCAAAGGCATTGCAGTTTATCAACCATGAAAGGGTTCCATTATTGCCACTCTTAAACATCAGCCAAATGATTACTTTTCAAGTGAATTTGACAGTGATAGAGGAAAATGCTATCATCCAGAACAAAGCAAACCTCATGGGTGGAATTTTACAGCTTAAACAGCATTGGTATGTAGCTGATTCAAAGAATGGCAGTGGAGATGAAACATTATTAAAACATCATTTTGAATTTACTACCGTTCGTATTTTATCAAGATTTGTGAAGAGAATGTCACTTGTTGTGCACAATAACATGTTGAGAAATATCAGGCAATACTTTGTAGAAACATCACAGGGACCTAATGATAACATTAGTACATAGCATCAGGGATTCAACCACGTTATAAGTACTCTTTCGTGATGATCACAGGAAACTGGTACCAGTCAGGCTGCTGTAAGACTCCACATACCAGGAACATTTACAATGAGATGGCAACAAAACCACATTAATAATTGAAAGTTTACATCATGTAACATGAACTGTACTTCCTTAGTATCTTGTGTAAGTTCTAATTTAAAATGATGGTCTCCCTCATGTTTTTGTAAAATTGCACTTGCATCACTAATGACATGTGTGGAATGAAGGCGGGTTTGTTTCTTTCACTCAGACAAGTCACATGCCTCAGTGCACCATTTCACTTTCATCTTGTGGTTCTACAATTCTTAAACATTCATCTGCAAACTCTGTGAAAATGGGGATTTGCATGGCCTGACTGAGAAGCTTCCCAGGGTCTTCTGAAGAATCAATTTCTCTGATCATTTCCCTTAAGTGTCTGTTGTGTAGCATGCTGTGTAATTCTTGTGAATGACCTGAGAAAGAAAAGAATCAAATTTCTTTAAATATCTGTCATAAAGTTTGGAGTTTTATGTATTTACTTATGACAAGGCCATGTACTTCTTGCTTGACTCAGTAAGTGAGGGCATAATCAATTATAACTTTTAATATTAGTAATAAACTCAATTATGTAATGTTGAACATATACCCAGCTTTTCAAGAATATTTCTGCTGATTCTGTCATCATTGTCTGAATCGTCATCTGAACAACTGTCTGTAACTTCACCCTCCTCAGTTTCTAGAAAGTAATGAATAGTTGGTTTCAACTCCAGATGTAAATACCTATATAAATACAGTTAACTCATCATAGATTTGTGTGATTTAGTTTTGAGAAAAGCATTTATTTATATTTTTCAGCTTGAAAGCAATATTATTGTTTCATGACAAGTTGTCTGCTGCATGCATAGTTGTATAACTATTTGCCCCTGCTGTTAAAAATCTAATTTTATTGTTCTTATTGATAATTATAATATTTAGAGAATTAGTGGTGTGATCTCAGCTAATAAAATTATAGACCATGTTTTACCTTTTCCTTAGTTTAACCTGTTTGGGAAATGATTAGTGGAGTAATGATTAATACAATTCTCGATTAATCACGATTATGACCGATCGATTCAATTTACGATTCTTTGATTCCATGTTTCACTTTTGGTTCGATTTTTTGCATACCTTTCCCAGAGTGCCCTCAGCGAGTTATTATATTGTGAAATCAGAATCCAGAACTCTTTAAAATGTGCGTTTTTGATTGACGAATAAAGACTGATTTTTAGCAAGATGTAAACTTAAGTATTGTTATAATAATTATTGTTTCATTAAAGTGATGGAAACAATTTGGAAACCTTGCACTGAGTGAGATATAGCTCTTGTCCTTCTCTCATTTTCCTCTTTTTCTTCTTTTCTTCTATTTGTTTCTTTTTCACACATGTCACCTACAATGGCACAATACAGACAAATCAGGCTTAAGTACAAGTATGGTGGGAAGTCAATATTCCTGGGCCACTATAGAGTAACCATGAAGGCCTGCTGTGGATCAACCAGTCAGATCATGTGTGCTAAAGGTATCCACCATTTAGTATTGATCGATACCCTCCATCAACCCTTGATCAACACTCAATCAACATCCTGATTGACACCACATCAACATCTCAATCGATGTTCAGTCGACACTACATGCAGATTGACACCTGATCAACATCTTTACCAACACTTCATTGACAGTTGGTAGTTCGCAGAGTGTCAACCAACTCATGTGTATTGATTGACACTCGATGGTGTGCCTGCAAAAATTTCTCGACTCTCGACTGACTGATGCCTTTAGTACACATCATCTGATCTACCTTGAAATACCCTGGCTAACTGGGACCCTGGTGAAGCAGCTGGGAAATCATCCCATAAGTTGATATGAATGATAACAGAAACAGAGGAGAGAATGTCCACATACTACATGTATGTATGAGACAGAAAAGGTTGTGTAAGTGACAACCCAAGAAGCCAGTCAGATAATTTTGGGAGTGAAAGTCTGACCACAAGCTAGTGTGATGTACAGTAGCACCAACAAGTTTACTATACCGTCAGACGTCAAGAAGTTATCAAAAGAGCTATCATGGAAGCTTTGGATTGCTTTGCATTGCATTGCATCACTTCCTTTTGCAGGCCCAAACATCATTTACTAACTATTTTAAACCCAGAGATACCTTTTCTTACCTTTATGTGTCTTGAAACAGGAAAGAGAGCAACTATAAAATAGAGGAGACCATAATTAACCGAAGCTTAGTGTAAAGTAAACCTTGATGCCAGCCTCTAAGCTGACAGCTGGCTGCAGATGAGCGGCTTCAAAGAGACGATTCAATGTGGAATTTGGAAATTTAACACACTGATGTAGCACTTACTATTTCATTCTGCACGATGGGCATTTGTACTTATGGCAGGCATCTTTACAGACTTCACAACTGTTTGGTTGCTGGTCTAATTCTTTCTTCATCATAGCAAAGTTTGAACGAGTTTGAGTTTGAACCACGTTGTTTTGAGAGTTGTACAACTTGTACCCAGACTTCCAAGTTTCTCCTTCTCGAAATTCCACAGAAGACTAAGTACTAAAGCACTTTCCCCCAACCAAGGCATACAAACATGGCGGCTTCGTCTGCGACTTCGTTGGACAAACCTGACGAAAAGAAAGCGGATCGCGACGCGTACTTGTCGCAGCTTGTAGCGCGATACAACTATTGTGTGTTGAGGCATCCGATATTGACAAAGAGTGTCACGAGGTATGTGAAGTTAGAATTTAGAATTTGCACAATTTTATATCTTATCAGTAAACTTACTTGCGGTCGAGGTCTGCGCACCCATGCAGCCTCGCTGAATGCAGAACATGGAGTATATCGATCGTGAAGGGTTCGTTGGGCGATGTAAGCGGGGATTAAACAGGTCTAATTCTTGAATATGATCTTGCAAATAATGGAATGGTTGTGCGATGTCTATTGTCTGTTTAACAAATAGATTCCATGTTGCCGTGCGTCTGTTCAGTAATAGATCACAGATGACGTCAAAATGTGGTAAGAACAAAAAAGTGGCACACG